CCAATCGTAGGACCTTCGAAAAATGCCCCCGGATCAAAAGGTTGGAGACAAACTCCTTTGCTAGAACCGGTCACTTCATTTCAACCATTTGCAACCTTGAAAAAGTCTCAGAGAAGAGGCAACAAGAATATGGACGAGAACGGATGGGCTACCGAAGAAGCAACCGATGTGCAAGAGATGGGAGATTTTGACTTTGCTGGTAGTTTGGCAAAATTTGACAAGAAATCTGTTTTCAACCAAATGCAGGCAGAGGATGCTATAGCAGAATCAGACCGCCTAGTTGGACACAATCGCCTACCCAAGGCAAAACCAGGAACGTACGGGGGAAAGAATCTCCATCCTACCGAGAACGTTTTGGATACGCCAAACGGTGCCACAAAGGCTCCCGAACTTTGGAAGAGCGATGCTGATGATACCGACATCCAAGAAATAAGTAGTCAGAGAGGTTCAGGGAGTGGTAGAAACTCTCGTGCACGAAGACCAGAGAGTAAAATAGGTAACCACCACAGACCTATTTCACGGAAAGGAAGTACTGTTCCAAGCTCCCAGCCATCACGAAACATTTCAGTCGCACCGTCAAAGCCTATGTTATATCTTGTTCCTTCAGATCGTCGATGCGAACCTATCTCGGCGCTTCAGATGCTTAATCTGGAAAACATTGCAGATGCTGAACTTGGCCTCACTGAAGATATGATGACTGAGAATGCAGGTCGTGGTATTGCTGAAGTTGGATTGTCGGCTGTGAACACTGGAGGTCGTGGTTTGACCCAAGGCAAAAAGTCTACCGTTCCGACGGTTATAGTCTTCGCCGGGAACAATAAGAGTGGACTCCGAGCTGTAGCAGCAGGTCGACATCTCCGAAATCACGGTCTTAACGTTGTGGTTTGCGTCCTCGGTCTTGAACGTGATTCCGAACTTTTAGTTGGGCTTAGATGTCAGATAAAAGTTTTCCGCAGTTTCGGTGGTAAAGTTTTTACCAAGACCGAACTTCTTGATTTTATCAAAACTTCAGGCGCACCTATCGATCTTATCATAGACGGTCTTCTTGGCCTCACGATGTCATTCGAAGAATTACGAACAGGTGACCAGGCTGCAGCTTACGAACTTATTGAATGGGCCAACCGAAGTAAAGCATCGGTTCTCGCCATTGATGTTCCTACGGGCATTGATCCCACGAGTGGGAAGGTCAGTGTAATTGATGGACGAAAATTATATATTCACGCGAGATATGTCGTTGCAATGGGAGCACCCAAGAAGGGTTTATTAGAAGCAATGAGTATGGGTGAGGGAGTTGGTGACGAGGAGAAATCAGGATTGGGAATTACAAGTGCAAACGCGAAAGCGAGTGGGGAATGGCAACTTTTCGTTGCGGATATTGGACTTGGAATGGCGGTTTGGAAGAAAGCTGGTACGAGAGTCAGACGGGGTGTGGAGTTTGAGGGTAGTTGGGTATTGGGAATGAGGTTTCAGAGTGGGGCGGTAGTTGCATGAATCTCGCATCGAGTTTGAGATTGAGGTTTACTTCTCAGTGGGCTAATTATTATATGGTGTGCGTGGATGGGATAGGATGGGATCAAAAGCATAAACTCTGGAGTGGGTGTGGAATGGGATTAATAGCATTGCAATGGCGTTCTACTTGTTGCATATTTTTGGCATTGGCTTACTGCTTGGCTAACTGGCTGGTTGGCTTTGGAAGATGAGAAGATGGAAATGAATGAAATGAAATGACGAGGTAGTAATAACTTACTTGTTCTTAGATGAGATGATGACATTATTGAAGAGGGGAAATGGGAACATAGATATAGATATCAATATCAATATCAATATCTTTATTTTTATCAGTGAAATACAGGGTTTTCTCTTTGCTTTCATTTTGGTTTTCGGACTACTAGGAGTGAAAGTTTTGCTTTTGGGTACATGAGCTTAATACGCATTAGTTCTGCGATACAAAGACTGCGATGCGATGTAATGCGAAGGTGTTAGGTCCGTAGAGGAATGGAAAGGAAAAGACTGCAGGAAGGGTTCGGTTGGATTGGATTGGATTGGTTGATCTATATAGATGATTCTGTATTACATATGTTCTGGCACATGTATGTACCTAGTATATTTACTAGGTTCAATGTGAACTAAATTACTACTACTATTACTGATATAACATGGTATGTTCTATAATGTTGGGGTGTATAAGTATACAGGTAGGTATATAGGTATGTGTATCTAGGTAATTCATGGATATTTGGATGTGGGAATAGGGCTAGATGTTTAGGTAGTTGTTGGGGAGATACATAAGATGGTGAGGTTATGAGGCTGTGAGTTTGTGGGTTTCATATGGAAGGTTGGTATTTGAGTGTGAGGGTTGAGTTAGGTCCTGTTTAGCATTTATATGTGTATGTATCGTTCATATATTGAATTCCAGATGTTGATATTCACGTTCACATATTCATATCCTTCATACTTCATTTCTCCCTATCACATTCACATTCGCATCAAAATCAAGATTCTCATTCCATAACTCAATGAATCATGACTACATCCGGGCTTCGAATATAATACAATACAAAGGTTCCCGAGAATAAAAATGGAAATTTCTCCAGCTATGTACGCGGTGTCCAACACTCAATCTTCTTTTTCTCCTCGACGATAGAATTCGAGGATCGAATCCTGTTAGAGACCAATATACAATACCAAATTCCATCGCCATCCTTGTACTTTGTGGATTTCTATAGAGTGTATCTAATTCACTGTTCTCGCGAAACACCTCGCAGTTTGGTTTCGTAGATGTATGCAGTGTAAGTGTGTCTTCCCATTGGGGAGAAGCTGAGCAATATCATTAGTTTATTGTCTGCATTGTATTAAACATTCAAAACACATTGTGTATTCTTATGATATAATATCTTTTAGTATTCCTTAATATGCTTCACGAATTGTATTGAAACTCTATACCTTACATATGTGAATTCGACTGCGATGTTTATTTTTCTGGGAAAAGAGTGTCGTATGGACCTTGGTATATACATTGTTGGAAGACGACACAACATGAGATGGAATATATGGAATTGTATCTAGGATGAAATTATTAAGTAGCTCATTGATGCTACGAGGCTGGACTGGTGAAAGAATCAGACATATTGTCTGAACAACAAGAAATATTGTGCATGTAGGCAAAAGAAGACAAAAAAAGTGAGCAAGCAACTCAAATCATCTCCGAACGCCCTTAATTCTGCGCCAAAATCCCCAGACCTCCTCCTCTTTAACCCAAACCTTATTTCCCTTCCCCTCCCACCGAAGCCTCCACTCATCCCTCTACCGCCCCAATCCAACATCACGCCTTGAATCCCGAAATAACACCTCCGAACCATACAAAGGAAAAGCATAACTCCGAAAGCTAATCCTCCAAAAGAATTACAAACAAGCGGAACAGATATGCATCCGCATCCGAAGTCTCACAAGCTTTCACTGCCGGCATCTTCACGGTACATCTCCTCGAAACGAGTACGCGAGAGAATTAGCGGGTCCACATGTCCACCCCGTCCACGACCATCAATGGTTCATTGAATCAAGCAGCTGTTCGGTCCCGACACATTGGTCTGTCGCGTAAAAGTTCTTTGTAGACTATCATTATTATACGTTGATGTGATGCCATTTGTGAAAAGGCTAATCAAGCTTAAAAATAAGATTCAGATGCTTGAGTCAGTGCTAGTAAAGATCCAGGGAAAAAAGCAGACAAACCTCGATATTGATATTGAAAACGACACATCCCTTACGGAATCCGCAAACTTCGAAAGCATTTAGACATTGAAGAAAAGAAAAATGGGTTATGAATGATTGAGATGAATTGCGACGCGTGTGAATTACTCGAGGGAGTGAGGAAAATCGTGGGACGGAAGAGGGTTTCTCCCAGGTAGGGCTTGTGTGAAAGGCTTATTTGTCGTCAATATGCACTATGTATGTATGTGTATATACCATGTTATGTTTTGACTCCAAGCATGAGCATCTACGCATATGGGTAAAGCCCGTTATCGAGTAAGGGAGGTATGTTCATCTCCAGTTCTCAACTATTCAAGATTCCACTTACGCGTCCAAGTACCCCTAAAATGCCATGGCGATTCACATACATACACAAGAGCATATATACTCCTAAAGAACGCCAAGTCTCCTAGCCCACCCCCATCTCCCTCCCAAACATCATATCTCTCGCCAAGATTTCCATCTTCACCATCCTATCCGCCTCTCTCACATCAGCAACCTACACCCGTCCCCCTACCAGCCAGTCGCTCATCCGTTCTCTTCGACAACTCAACCGACGACGCCACTGGCCATGGCACGTCTATCAAACCGCACCTGAGGCGCACCCCCCGTTTTCGAAATCCTCTGGAACGGCGAGACCTTCGAGCCCGGCTCCATCGCACTCACCCCCGTGAATTTCGCTGGTACAAATGCGACAAAAGACACTGTGCCCCTCTTGATGTCCAGCTGGGGTGATCTCGTATGGTAGGGTCCGAATTCCGATTCGTTGAGCCCGGTGCAATATTCCGATATCCAGTTCCAATCACTTGATGGATCGGATTATTTGACGGATTGGAATGGCTATGTGTTGGAGGGTCAAAGTGCTAGTATCGGGTATGGAAACCTGACGATACTAGATAAACACTATGAGCCTGCTGCGGTGGTGTGTCCCAACTTGGTGATTAATATTCAAGCAAGCATTCCACATGATTGCGATATCGATTATAGTGAGCAGTACTTGACGCCGTGGGGAACATTGTCGGTGACGGTTTATAATCTTACGCAAATGGATTTGAGCTCTGTGAATGGTTCTGCTGGGGGGTATCTCCTCGATGCGCAGATTCACGAGATTGATATTGCGACTTCGGAATCGATTTGGAAATGGAGCTCGTTGGATCATATCCCTTTGGATGAGTCCTAGTTGCCGTTGACGGACATGGCGGCTAATGAAAGCGTTGCGTGGGATTATGTTCATATCAATTCTATTTCTCCGTATGGTACGGATAAGCTTTTGGTTAGTGGGAGACATACTTGGGGGTTTTTTTGCTATCGATCGATCGAGTGGAGGTATTGTTTGGAATTGCAATGGTATCTATGGTGGAGACTTTGGTGCTGTCCCAGAAGAAGCTATCTTTGTAAGTCTGGTTTCACTTACCTCTTATTGACCACTTACTAATTCGTCTCAATTATAGAGCTGGCAATACAAAACTCGCGTCCACGATTTCGGAGACAACTTCATCATATTCTCTAGCTTCGGCAACCACGACTACGCCGGTGCTACCGGAGGAAATGCTCAAAACACCGCACCCACCGTCGGACGCGAGTTTTATCTCGAACTCCCTGCGAGCAAAAAGTACCACTCCCTCTCTCCGAATACCTACAACGAATTCTCCTCCCTCTTCAGCGACTCCTGGGGCTCCTTCGACTACCTCCCCAACCAGCAAAACGCCACCAGCCGCTTCACGTCCTACGGTCAACTCCCCATCCTCCGCGAATGACAAGTCGGACCAGGCTTCAACCAAACCGCCTTCAAATGGCAAGCCACTTTCGGCGCCGACAACGACGTCGCTACCTATCGGGCCCAAAAAGCATCACGGCACGGCGAGCCCAAGACCGTGCCGCAGCTTGTGGTTCTCTAAAACGGAACCGCGTACATGAGTTGGAATGGCGCGGCGCATGTCGCAGGGTGGAGTATCTATAGTGGGAGTGCGGATAGTAGTACTACGTATACGCTAAAGGGGATTGCGAGAAGTCGTGGTTTTGAGACGGCGATGGATTTGGGGACGGGGTGTTATATGGTGCAGCCTTTGATGGATTTTTCGTCGAGTGTGAATGTGACATATGGGGTTGATTCTACTCGGGTGTGTTTATCGTAGAGATGAGAGGATGGGATAATTTAAAGAGGGTATTGTAGAGTATAGAGTATAGAGTATAGAGTATAGAGTATAGAGTATATACATCCTTTGATACAATACTGTTTACCAGCATCTACACCCTCTCAGAAGAAAAAGCAGCCTTCTCAACCAAAACCAGCTACCCTATCCAAGAATCTCCCAGTAACTTCAATTGCCGACTTAGGAAAAACATGGCAATATCTACTTTCACATTTTCCCAAATCTTTCGGCTAATGCTGCGTATCTAGACAAATCTGAACCGGAGAGGGCTTTTCTAAGAGTTGGAAACTCTGTTCATACTATATTCTATAGATATGATTATATATGTTCGTCCGAAGAGCAAGGGAAGAGCAAGGATATTAATACTTGTATGTGTTGCCTTCCAACTCTCCAGCTCTTTGATTGGAGTCTACGTAGCTAAAATTGAATCGTTGGGGTCATTTAGGAAAGGTACATTATTGCCAACATATTATACGACTGGTATTACTATTCTTCTAGTATCTAACATACCACAAAATTTTACACCTAGGTATCAACAAAATCGAAAGTTGGATCAAGACGTTTGAATAAAGACGTGAGAGCTCAACGAAAAGGCATCGCATATCACGTGAAACATCATCACGAGGACATTCATCAACACCAGTTGTTCATCTGCTCCAAGCCCCGAGCTTCACACAAATCTGATTGGTGGTACAAACCTGCACACAGCCTAATCATTACGAACAGTCCCCCATTCTCCCAAATGGTAAGCCGACCAGTTCACGAGGACCTCTCGAACCCCAGATTCTCGCACTAAGTTGGCCCTAGCCGATCCACGAGATAAGCAATGCGAGAATCTTGGCATGCCAGTACCGACACGATCGTGAAATGTCTTATCTGCCAATTGCCATCCCTTCTTGATCCTGTATAGAGATTGGAGATGCAGACTGCGGAATGTAACCAGAGAGGTTTCTGGTGCGACCCAGGAAATGAGCTATCACGTTTCTCCCGGGCATACTTGACCATCACACCTGGGCAGAAATGTAACGATCGTCGATTTGCACATTATATTTCCGACGAGGCGAGATGCGAAGATAATTTTTGAAATGTCATGCTTCTTCGAGAACAAATGAGGAAGTTCGAACTTGCTTGGTACCAGGAAAGTGGATCATCTTGGACATTTTCTGTCCTATCATATCTTATTGATAACAGTATTCCCTAAGCATACACTTGCAGGAGCCTCTTCAGCTCTTTGGCGTTTTGGGACGGAAAGGCTGAATGTGATATCGTGGGGAAGAAGGTAAAAGTCTGACATGCAATTTGTTGTAAGCAGAACATTTTTGATTCCTTTGATTGCTCTGAGCTTTTCAAGGTTAATCCATGGGGAGGTGAGTCAGAGAGCTCTGCTGATCCCAACTTAAGCCTTTTTCAAAAGACCCTTGGTTTTTGCATGTTTGTGGTTTTGTGGGTTTGTATCGTGAAGGAAATGAAAAGCATGCGACAGGATTGTACTTGTGAGTTGTGAGGCTATCCTTAGTCGAATTTGTGTGAGATGTGGAGAATCTAAAGTTTCCCCGTACAGGATGCCGGAAAATCAGCATCTTTATCCTTGGTACTACAAGGGTTATGACTTTCTTAACTACGACTTAATCATGTAACTGCAAAACTTTGGAAGCTGCTTGAAAATTTCAAATCAAGTAATCAAATGCAAACAAGGGCAAGGAAAGATGTCTTTTTCAAAATCAGACCATATCCAGCAAATTTGAAGAAGAAAAAAAACCTGTCACGAAAAAAAGGACCTCGGCCGGAAATCATTGATTGACCTTTGGTTGAATTTCAATTTCGGGTAATTATTTCGTGCAGTAAAAAAACTCTACGCCCAACAGGCGCGACAACCTAACCATGAAATTGATGAAACAAATAAAAGATCAGAAAAAAATCAACATAGCGGATCAGTTGACTGACGTGGCCAAAGAGTTTTCTCGTGATAGGGAAGGAAACAATCAAAATGCAGATAAAAGACATTTCCAGGAAGCATGAAGGATTTCATGACCCACAGGACCACATTGAACAAAAAAAATTGCAAAACGCCCAAGAACCCAAGAACCCAAGATGCACCAATGTCAGTTACCAATACACCAATGTATCAATGTACATGATGTTCCTAGGTAGGTATCCATCCGGCAATTTAGTTGTTGAGGGCACACAGCATTCAATTTCACTTCAGCTCATACAACAGGAAGGTGGATATAGGGCGGGATTGACTCCTTCTCTTTCTGCGTATTCTGTACAGTAGGACAGTAATGAGAAATCAACTGATAGGACAACAAATGGCTTGGTACGAGCACAGATGCAACAGGATGAATGAACACCTCCAAAGTGGTTACCGGCCGAGATTTGATTGAGATTGAATAGATTGAGATTCATATCCATATGCACGCACATCCACCTCCAAGTTGTGGATCCGGACTTCCGGTCAAGTTCATGAATAATAACGATGCAGTTAGTATCACATAGCTAGTAGTGCGTCCCTTATGTATAGGAGTAGCGAGGAAGTAGGTAACACGTGAAGTACGAAGTACAGACGAAGTACATACTTAGGCAGGTACTGCAGTACATAACGTAACTTTTATTTCTCTGAAAGGACGAGCTGCGCCAAAGAAGAAGAAGATTCTCCAAAGAGAAGGTCGTGAGGTTGTTTCATTACAGTATAAGACGAACCACTCGACAACGACACGCACGCAAGGGAAGACAATGATATAATCAATCATGTGATCCTGAATGATATAATGATGATGCTGATAAATTCTTAGGCGAATGTAGGAAAGTATAATAAATTGGCAGACACAGTACTCCATAACCGTTGGAGAAAAATCACCATATTAGGAAAAAGAAGTGTGTGACTTGTGAATGGGCTGTGACGGATACAGATCCAGCTGATGCAGATATTCTCTTGATTCTCCACATACCAAAATAAACAACATCATCATCCTGTCACCTCACCCTGGCCAAGTAATAAGCTACAGTCCCTTCGTAAGCCTTCTCGAAGGACGTTCCTCAAGGCGTTCAAGGATGCATGGAAACGATGGGTTGAAAAAGAATGGATCAGGGTCGCTTTTGCACATCATCCGAATGATTATATGTGATACGGAAGAGAATCAATTACAGTAAGTGAGTTAAGTAAGTGAATGAGTAAGTAAGCAAGTACAATACAATACAGCACAGCACAGCACAGCACAGCCCAACCCAGCCATGTGTTGATAATTCATTGCTTCGAATACAAACAGACAAACACATGAGATAGTGCTTCCCTTCCTTTTTCCTTCCTCTCCCTTTATCATTATTGGAGAAGCCATGAGGAAAAGGAAAGCAGAGCTCTTACTCGAGTACCGAGATATGCATTTCCATGATTTAACTTTCTAATCTAATCTGTTCTGTCCAATCTTCTTAGCTCTGATTGATTCCAAGCCTTGAATTGGGTAGATCCATTGACAACAATTGACGTACTTTTGCACTTGATGGTTTCTCAATGCCCAAAAGCTTATCCGATCTGCATACTAGTGACCATTAGATAGTAAACACAAGAAGATAGTTTATTACTCCAGGTTTCCCTCCCTCTTAGAGCTGATACCAATTGTCAATAAAGTCTCCATTCCGTCAGTTAGTCAGTCAGTCAATCAATCAATCAATCAGTCAGTCAAGTCAGTCTCAGTCTCAGTCTCGGTCAAACAGTCAGTCAAGTCAAATCTATTTCCCACTTATTACCACGAATCTAAAAGTAGCCAAGTACCAAGTACCAAGTACCAGTAGATTCATCATCATCGTTATTATCATCGCTTATCTACTCCTCCCTTCTCTTCCTGCCTTCTCTCCTTCCTAGCTTATCTTTTAATAAGGCTATCGGCCCCTTCCTCAAAAGTCATTCTTCCAAAGTTACGAACTTACGACCTACCGGTATCTTAGCCTTCATTTTAAAGTACCTACCCGAGTACCTAGTGATTCACTCCAAATCAGCTGAACTCGCTCTCGATTGATTTGTGCTTAATAAACACTGCTACATTCCTCTTCCTACCTCCTTCTCATTCTCCCCTGCTGTCATCTCAATACACTCTCAACACACCTTTGGCAAATTAAAAGGTTGAATGCAATACACTCCTACTTACATCAAGTCGACCATATAACTACTACATCGTAGTAACACTTCCTTGGGTGTTATCATACCAACATCCACATCCTACCGTTATCCGACAATCATATCATGATAAGCTCTTGAATCACTGTACACTCCGAGTGCTGCGATCATTGGCTTTCAGTATTATCCACTGGGAAATTATGCAAAACAACTCGATATCTCTTCCGATAAGATTTTATAAATTGTTTTCTATTCAAAATCCTTTCTACTTTTCCAAGAACGAATCCCGTTGAAGGTATTATTCAAAGCCCCGACAGATTTGGTTTCTATCAAGTAATAAATACACACAACTGGTTTATGCGGTAACTCTCAGGGCACGCGAGCAACAAGATGCCTACCTCATTCTCATTATTCACAACACAAAAGCCGAAATCGAAACCTTCGACTTCAACTTCAACTTCAGCTTCTTCTTCTACCAAATCAAATTCAAAAA